ATAATAATAATGATAATAATAATAGTGAAATTTGCATTAATGTGGTGCATATCCACGCTCTTTAGCATGCTCAATATACATTTTACAAATAAAATATCAGTGCCCCAGAAGACCCAAGAACCCTCAGAAGCATTCTGGGCTTCCCAGGAAGCATACAGTGCAAACAGTCGATCAAGCGTTCAAACACTAACAAATTGACAAGGTGTTTCGCTGTCTGTCGCTGAGAACTTATTCCCACCTGGGTGAAGTGAGGAAAATTCGTGTGAAAAGTGGCTTTCACGGGGACCGAAGTCAGATGTCTGACGAATTCGAACCCACGACCTTTCTTTGGGCTGAAAGTCAGTAAAAGACTATCATCAGTGCCGCTATAGCAGTAAGAAAAAAATATTTGCACAGACAAGGAGAGAAGATACCGAGTTAATTTCTATAAGACTGTGCACCTCGATGTGGCTTGGTTTTATTACATAGATCTAATGTGTGCCCCCACCCCACCCCACCCAAAAAAAAAAGAAAAAAAAGAAGAAAAAGAATTCTCAAATTTCACTAGGAATTTTGTCCATCTACTATTAATTCATTTTCCTTATCCACAGATACTTCGTGAGTTTCATCATTCAGTTCCAGTTCCAGAAAGCTGCCTGTGAGGCCGCAGGACACACCGGCCCCTTGCATCACTGTGACATCTACCAGAATGCCGAAGCTGGACGACGCATCAGGCAGGTTTTTTTTTTTTTGGTATACGTTTTAAAGACCCTATCGACATTATTAGGGTATTTACAGAGGCAAGACTACGAGTTAAACGTCCATCCTCAAAAGGACTGAACCACACAGAAAATTCACGCAATGTGCCTTTCCCAAGGATACAACGTCCAAACGAGCTGAGGCTTGAATCCCCGAACCTGCAATCTCCCGTTTACGCTTCCGGTAGCCTAACCACCGCACCAGATAGGTTTGGTAAACGTAAATTTTTATATTGAAAGGGTTAAAGAGTACTGGCTTATCTCGCAGAATTAGATATTCCGACTAAAATGAAGCATTGTGTGAATGGTTTCTGTATGAATACTATGGAGATTGAAATAAAACAAAAACTACTTATTTCTTCAAAAATTATTAAAGGGGGTCACCAGAAAGAACCCCCCCCCACACCCTCATTTCCTAGTAAACGA